ATAAACAGCTTTGTAGAATGAAAGTACTTTTGAAAATAAAAGACTCATTGATTTAGTAGCTTTTCCTTTTGTGTTATGGTCATTTTCAGACTGTAAGAGTAAGGGTTACTATTTAAATCATAGAATTTTAGAACCAGAAGACTTTTTTTTTTAATTGGGACTGAAAGTGACTTCAAAGGTCATTGGATCATAGATTTAGAACTGGAAGGGGCCTTACAGATGATCGAGTCCAACCCATCTCATTTTAAAAATAGGAAACTGAGGGCCAGAGGTACAGTAACTTGTCCAAGGTCACACAGGTATCAAATGGGCAGAGCAAAGATTTGAACCCTGATTCCAAATCCATCACTGTTTCCGCTACACCAAACCTCCTCCTATCATTTAGTCCAAGTCCTCTTTTTGGTTTGTTTTTTAGATGCTGCCCCCCAAAATTAAATGATTTGCCTAAGGTTACAGAGCTTGGTTAGTAGCTAAGCCTGGACCGGAGCTAAAGGTCTCCTAACTTCAGTCCAGGATTCTTTCCACTACAACATGCTTATTTACTTTTTTTTTCAACAAGCATTATTGTGTACTCATTGAAGGGGTACAAAAGGAACAGATGATGAGTCCCTGCCCTCAGGTAGTTTGCTATCTTATTGTGGGAGACGGAATATCAATCAATCAATGAACATTTATTAAACAGCTACTATATGTCTGGCACTGTGCTAAGCATCGGAGATGTTAAAAACAGGCAAAGGACAGTCCCTGCCCCCAAGGAGGGCAATCTAATGGGGGAGACAAACAAATATATACACAAAAAACTCATAATTGCAAAGCAGGAAGAAGGGGGCCATGCATGAAGGTTAAGGGAAGGGGAGTAGTGGTAGAAGAGGAGTAACAAAATAGTTGGTACCGTATATAACAAAGTCTGACAACTCAATCTACTCAGGGCAAGAAAAATCCTGAACTTGGGAGTCAGGTGAGACCTGATTTTTCTCAATTTTCATCCTCTTTGCAATATTTGAATCTGTTGGTCACCTTCTCTTTCTGGATCTTCTCTCCTCTGTGGGTTTTGGGGTCATTGCTCTCTCTTGGTTCTCCTCCTATGGGTGTCTCCAAGGCTGGGCCCTCTACTCTTCTTCCTTTGTCCTGTTTCCCTTAGTGATCTCAACAGCTTCCATGGATTCAGTTACCATCTCTATGCTGATGGCTCCCAACTCTGTATATTCAGGCCTATCTTCTGAGCTCCCATCCTACATCTCCAACGACTTACCAGGTACATTGAACCAAATGTCCAGTAGACCTTTAAAACTCAACACGTCTATAGCAAAATTAACAATATTTTCCCCCAAGCTCTCCTCTTGCCCATGTGAGCTTGACCTAGTCACTCAGGTTCTCAGCCTAAGGTGCCGGATCATCTCCTTTCTACCTTTACAACATCTCTGATGTCCCCTTCTCATCATTTACACACCACTACCCTAATTTAGGCACTCATTACCTCTTATCTAGACTATTGCAAAGGCCTTCTAATCAGTCTCCCATCTTCAAATCTTTCCCCTCTCCAATTCATCATACACACAGCTGCCAAAGTGATTTTCCTAAAATATAAGTCTGCTTATGTACCTTTGGGGCAGCTAGGTAGCATAATGAATAGAGTGCCAGGCTTGGAGTCAGGAAGACTGATCTTCATGAGTTCAAATCTGGCCTCAGACACTTATTAGCTGTATGACCCTGGACAAGCCACTTAAACCCCATTTGCCTCAGTTTCCTTATCTGTAAAATGAGCTGGAGAAGGAAATTGCAAAGTATTCCGGTATCTTTGCCAAGAAAACTCCAAATGGGGCCACAAAGAGTCAGACAGGACTGAAATGACTGAACAACAGGTCCCTTCTTCACCCCACCCCTTTCCATCAATAAACTCCAAGTTGCACCCTATTATTTCTAGGATTCAATAGAAAGCCCTCTAGTATTTAAGGCACTCCACAATCAGATGCCTTTCTACTTTTTCAGGCTTCTCACTTTATTCCTTTCCATGAACACTAAGTCTGAACAATACTAGCCTACTTGACTGTTCCTCGAACATGGCACTGGATCTCCAGTCTTCTTTGCACTGTGTGTCACCTAGGCCTGGGATGCTTTCCCTCCTCAGGTCTGTCTCTTGGCATCCTTAACTTCTTTCAAGACTCAAAGACAATCTTTTGTAATAGGCCTTTTTCCATCAGCTTAAGCTTTCCATCCCAGGTTCCCTTCCTTCTTCTCTGTACTGATCTTGTATTTCTTATTTGTTTGCATGTCTTTTCCCTTAGAATGTAAGCTTTGTGAGGGCAGGAACTGTTTTTTGGTATTATTTACTTTCTTAGTATTCCCTCCATACTAATCTCACAAGGTTGTTGTGAGGCTTAAATATGTCTGTAAAGCGTTATTATTATTAAAGGCATATATCACTGTCCATTTTTTAAAATGACATATGAAGATAATAGAGTTGTGAAAGAAAAGACTAATAGTCCTAGAATCTTTTCCATTCTGCTCACATACAGGCTGTCAGTTTTTGGTTCTGCCCATGTTCTTCCAGTTGGGACAATGTCTTGTAAAAACTAAACTTCATCCCTATTTCTCATCTCTCTTAGTCAGATAAGACTGTATACCAGCCAAATAGGCCTATTGAATACTGAATCTGTGTTTTAGAAAGTAATTAGAGAATTTCATTGTGCTGGGGAAAACATTGACATGGAAATCAGGAGACCAAAATTCTAGTTTTGACTCTGATACTAACTAATTATGTGACGATGGACAATTCACTTAAATTCTCTGTGCCTTAGTTTCCTCATCTGTAAAATTAGAGTTGTACTAGCTTTAGGGCTCAAAGGGTCCTTATAGTCCCCGGTCCAATCACCTCATTTTCAGACCCCAGATCACACCCTAAGTGGAAAAAGCCAGAATTTCAACCCAGATCCTCTGACTCTAAATTCAATATTCTTTCCACTATATCAAGATGATCCAGTTCTAAAAATCTGATGCCTTCCCCACTTCTCTTCAGCTTTTTCTTTTTGTTCATCATATGCCTAAAAGCATATTATATATATGTATATATACATAGCTATATATCTTCATATATATCTGTATATACACACATCTACATATATAATATATACACATATACATATATGTAGATATTATAGATATAGGTATATGTCCGTATGTATATGTATGTATATATTGGTGTGTATGTATGTGTATGTATATATGTATACATATACATATAAATATACATACATGTATAAATACACTTCTATACCATATATATATATACATACATACAGTACACACATACATATAAAACCAACCCCAAACACTGCACATATGGACAGTTTCTGACCTCATTTGGTAGCTTAGTGGACCAGCAGAGTCACATTGGGTTTTACAGGCATACTTCTTAGCTCTTTGGACATTTTCAAACATCCTTCCTTATACTCAGTGCACATAGACAGCACAACACTGGCTGTGTAGCCCGTTGAACATTTCTCCTTTGTTGGGATAAACTTCTTGGCCTTCTTGAAACTAAAGATGTGAGTTGTGAGTTGTAGGGCAAGGGGAGAGACCGAGGAGAAGTTGGTCAGGGAGAATCCTGTAAAACTATTTCTTCCTCTTCTAGTTTAAAATGAACTGAAATTCTAGTACAAAGGGACCCTGCCAATGAAAGCCTGAGGAAAGATAATTCTAGGCTGTTGAATGTCTGGAGTTCCTTAGTGGATACACTGAACCTGCTACATCTCCAGGAGTCAGTCACCCCTCCTTCTCCTCCAGCCTTGAGACAGAGCGAGTGGAAAGGTGAGGAGGAAGAAAGGATGGAGGGAGCGTTCCGGTAGTGTTAGAAGCCCAAAATGGAGTGTGATGGGATCTAGGAGAAAAAGCAAGAAGAAAGGGAGTGGGGGAGGTGTCGAGACTTTAGAGATAGGTCGGGTAGCATCGAAAGACTGAGAAGAGAAGGCAGCATCCTCTCCTTCACCCCTCTTCCTTTACATCTCAAGGAGTGGAGGAAGGAAAACTTAAAAACGTAACTCTCTGCAACAGATTTTCAGGGGAACCTAGGCTAGGCTGAAGGAATGTGTCTTGCAAAGCTGTGGCTTAGTCCGAAATAAGAGAGATTGGCAAAAAGGGGAAAAGGAAGAGGAAGAATGGAGAGTTGAGGCACTGTGATCCTTAGATTAGGGAGGAGCAAATACACCCCTAGGGCAGAGATGACTGTCAGTTCCCTCTGAAGTCCCCAATGTCTTCAAAACCGGCAAAGGGTGAAGGGGTGAGACTGATGTAAGATTTTTGTGATGAGACTTGGAAAAAAACCCAAAAAACCCTCCAACTCCAAACCACTCACTTGTGTTTTTATCTACTGCGGAGAACTGAGGGTCCCTAAAAGCCCCATGCTCTAGTTTCCTTACTCCTACCCCCTTCTCAAATACCCCACTTTGTGGTTTGACTTCGAGTTCCCTCCCAAGTTTCGAAGACCAACACGTGATTTCCATGAAGCCAGGGGCCCCCCAGACTAAATGCCTGTGAGGCAGAGTGGGGGTAGGGCGGGACCCTGCCAGTGGGACCTAAGAATGGGGAATCTTCGTTGGGCTGGGGACTAAGCAGGGGAGGGTAAGGAAGTAAATCAGGACCTCGACGGGGCGGAGAGGTGAGGGTTGCCAAGGGATCAGAACGCAGGATCAGAATTTGGGGAAGGGGTTGTGATCGAGAGGGAAACGGGACCAGGAGCTGGGCAGGAGTGGGGGGTGGGGAAGAGAGAAAGAGTGAAAGACCTGCGGCGGAAGGAAGAGAGAGAGTAGAGTGATAGTGAGATCGGGTAGCCAGAGGGGGAGGAGGAGGTGTGGAAGGGAGTGGAGGAGGGCAACTCGGAGAACTTCGGAGGAGGGTCAGGTGCGCTGGCGCGAAGGATGCCCCGGGCCGGAGAATCTCCCTAGGCAAGGAAGGGGCGCGGCGGGACCGGCTGGCTGCTCCTCCCCCGGAGGCTGAGCTGCGCTGCCCTGCCGGGGGCGGGTCGGGGGCAGCGGAGCTCCCGGCATGTCGCAAGGGCTCCCGGCCACCGGCAGCGTCCTGCAGAGGAGCGTCTCTGCCCGCGGGAACCAGCAACAGCCGCAGGTAGCCAGGGGAGATGGAGCCGGGGGCTAGCTGGGCAGGCGGGAGGGCGAGGCAAGAGGAGCGGAGAGCAAAAATGTCCGCGACCGCGGCATGTCTCCGGGCAGCAGTGCTCCGTGAGGGACTGGGCGGAGGTCGGGGAAGTTGCGGAGAGTGCCGGGGACAGGGTAAGAGGCACTGGCTTGGGGCAGCAAGCATGGGGTTGGCGGCGTAAAGCACACAGCAGTGCCGGGGCTGGAGCCCAGCCAACGAGAAGTTCTGGCGGCTTCCAGGATCAGGGGAGAGACCCACTGGCTATCCCTGCCACCTGAGCTGTCACTTTATCCTCGGAGCACGGGCACCCGAACCCCATGGTCTGGCTGGGGAGAGTCATGCCTTCGCACGTGGGAACTCATCTCTGGAAGCCGCGCTGCGGCCAGTCGTCAAGGCCCTCCCTTTCCCAGGGCTCAGTGGGTCACTGCTTTCCCATCTCCCAGCCACTTGCACCTACGGCTGTTGTCATAGTGGACTTCCAGGAGTGGTAGAGGAGGAATGGGGTGCTGGGAAGAGGGGTTCCGCCTCCACCCCTCCTCCTTCCTCTCCTGCCCTAGCTTCAGAGAGCACAGCTCTTAAGGAGAGGAGGGTTAGTCCTACCGCTGGGGGAAAGTGGAAGCACTCAGCAGATTGGAGAATGTTAGAGCTGCAAGCCACCTTAGAAATATAAGTCAACACCACTCACGACAAGTAAGAATAAGTGCTGTGACTTGCCGATAAAATCCCTGGAAGGATCTCAGCTAGAACCTTGATGCCTTGTTGCTTAGCCCAGTACTTCTTCATATCCACTATACCAACTCCAGCAGCAGGGTTCATGTGAAACACCAACCAACTAGGTCAGTTGTGTGATCCTGGGCAAGTCACTTAACCTCTGTCTGCCTCAGTTTCCTCATCTGCAAAACAGGGATAATAATAGCACCTACCTCCCAGGGTTGTTGTGAGGAGCAAATGAGATAGTATTTGTAAGTATTTTGCAAGCCTTAAATTGCTTTAAATGCTAGCTATTATTATTATTATTATCATTATTAGCTAACTCCCAAACTTTATTTCCCTTTGGTCCAGGCAGATCCCTATCTCTCCCCCCCCCCCCAAGTGTTTATCTGGCCACCTTCATGGAAAGTAGTGTTGTACAGTGAAAAGACCACTAGAGGGGCAGCTAGGTGGCGCAGTGGATAGAGCATCTGCCCTGAAGTCAGGACAACCTGAGTTCAAATGCGGCCTCAGACCAAACACTTGACACTTACTAGCTGTGTGACCCTGGGCAAGTCACTTAACCCCAATTGCCTAAAAAAAAAAAAGATCACTAGAAATCTGAGCTCAAATTCAGCCTCTAAATGAAATTAGTTACCAAGAGGGACACCTGTTTAAGTAGCAGGCATATCTTGAATCCAAGTCCCCAAATATCAGAGCAGCCCAGTCAGAATATGGAGTACCCTCAGCTCTGAGTAAGGAAATAGCATAATAGAGCCTGAGCTGGAAGGGATCTCTCATTTAATACCCTCATTTTACAGGTAAGAAAGCTGAGGCCCATTAAGTAACTTAATTTGTGTTAAGTATCTTTCCCACCAAAACAGGTAATAAGCATAGAGGGTTTGGGGTAGGATTCAAACCCAGGCCCTCTAACTCCCAAGCCAGTGCTATTTTCATATATCATGCTGGTCAATATAATTCAACTGACATTTATTAAACCCTCTGATCCAGCACTTACATGTTTAAATAAATGATTTTATTTTATGAGGCAACCTAGGGTTAAGTGACTTGCCCAGGGTCACACAGCTAGTAAGAGTCTGAGGACAGATTTGAACTCAGGTCCTCCTGACTTCAGGGTCAGCAATCTATCCACTGCACCACCTAGTCGCCCTTTAATAAGTAATTTTAGAGTGATGGTGATAACAATGAGCAAACTGGTATGATTGGGTGCGTAGCATAGTATAGACTTTTTTTTTTGTTCATACCATCAATTTCATTGGTTTAGAAAACTCCATGTGAGGAATTTCCTTCTACCAGTGCACATCTGAGACTTTTGTAGTCTTAGAGAGGGGTCTGGAGGGACCAAAAAGTTGGGTGACTTGTCCATGGCCACATAGTCAGAGGTGAGACTTGAACCCTGGCTCACGAAATCTGGAGTCAATACTTGGGTATCTGCAGCAATGTGGGGATAACATCTCAGTCTTGCTTCAGCCCTTTGCTAGCACAGAGTTATTTTCCTCTGGAGGTATGTTCACATGTTGGAATGGATCCAGTACTAAGCAATGAGTCAAGAAGTCCTGGATTTAAATCCCACTTAGTATCTGTGAGACCCCAAGTAAGACACTGAAGCTGTGTGCCCTAGAGAGCTCCCAGTAATTACGTACTAAGTTGTAGATCTTTGTTATAGGTAGTATAAGTTCACAACCCAGAAGGCTGGCCAAATCACTGAGCCTTCTGGTATTCTTATTGTAGGTGAATGTGTTGGATTCCGTGTCCTTTTTTCTTGTTAGGTTAGTAATTTCTTCAAGGCAGAGACCATAACTTCTCTTTCTTCAGTATCTTCTCATGAGTCCCAGCACAGCAAATGACCAGTCATTATTTCTCTAGGTTCTGTTTTTGACCCAAGGTTGTGAGATCTCTGTTTCAACTTGACTATTCAACATTTCACATTGATTGGCTTAAAGAGTTTGTTCTATGATAAGCTTTGAGGGATTTGACTGACTTATACTATTGTGTACCACCGAAGAGTTTCAAGATGTACCTGAAATTCAATTTGTGGTTTAGTCAGCCATCTTGTAATAAAAGGGCTGATTATTTAAGTTTTTAAGCAGCCATATCTTAGATTATAAACTTGAGGATTTTTGATGGATTTAATGGAATTTGACATGTCAATATAAGTTACAGGGAAGTGTGAGGTGTACAGAATGACTAATAAAACCCACATTTGTACATTTCACTATTTTCGAAAGCATTTGGGTATCATTTTGTGTGACACTGTGTTGGAGTCTATCCAAAAATAAACTATACAAAGTCCTTAACCTTCTGGGAGTTTAAAATCTAAGTCAAACACCACCACCACCAACAGATGTTCTATGCACATATCAATTCAATACAATTTAATTCAACAAGCATTTATTAATCACCATAGTATATAACAGGTCCTGTCTATATGCTGGGAAATATAGAGACAATATTAAAAACACTACCTGTCCTCAAGGAGCTTACATTCTACTTTCTTTTGAGGGGGAGGGATGAAGTTGTACAATATTTACAAAGATAAGGAAACACTAAATAATTTGAAGAGGGAAAGAATACTAACAACTATAGGGATTAAAGGTGGACTTCCTACAGTAGTTTGTACCTTAGTTGAGCTTTGAAAGAAGCTAAAGATTTTAAGCTTGAAGGAAGCCAGGAAGAAAATTGAATAGGGAGAGAGTTGTAGGCATAGAGACAGTCAATGAAGTGTCTTGTTCAAAGTAAAGCAAGGTGGCTGATGTCACTGTATCCCATATAAGGTGCAAGAACACTAGAAAGGTAGGAAAGGGCCAAGTTATGAAGGGCTTTAAAAGCCAAACAGAAGATTTTATATTTGATCCTAGAGATAATAGGAAGCCACTGGAGTTTATTGAAATGAAATGGGGATGGGGCAGGGGTGATTTGACAAGGTCAGATCTGCACTTTAGGAAGATCAATTTGACAACTTAGTAGAGGATAGAATAGATACCAAAGAACTGAAACAGGAAACATTTTCCAAAAAAGGGAGACAATAGTCTGTAAACTATAGGCCACTGATCTTGACATCAATTCCTGGGAAAATTCTAGAATGTGTCATTAAGGAGATGGTTAGCGATCATCTGGAAAAGGAGGCAAGGATTACAAAGAAGATGGTTTCATCAAGAACAGATCATGCCAGACTGTTCTATTTCTTTCTTTTTTTCCCTCCTCGGGTTACTAAACTGGTAGATAAGGGGAATGTTGCAGTTATAATTTACCTAGATTTCGTCAAAGCATTTGACAAAGTAGTTCGTTATTTTTATGGAAAAGATGTAGAGATATCATAGAACATTAAATAAACTGGACTCAGAGAGTAGTCATTAATAGCACAATGTCACCCCAGAAGGGCGTCTGCAAGGGAATCCCCCACTGGTCAGTGCTTGGCCCTATGTTGCTAAACACTTTTATCAATGGCTCAGATAAAGGCGTAGATGGTATGCATATCAAAGTTACTGATGACATAAAGTCAGGAGGGTTAGCCAACATGGTGGATGACAGGGTCAGATTCCCAAGCATTGGGTTGGATCTAATAAGTGAAATCCAGTAGGGATAAACATAAAGACTTACCTTTGAGTTCAAAAAATAATCTTTATAAGTACAAGATACAGGAGGCATAGTGATTTATCTGAAAAAGATCTGTGTGTTTTAGTGGACCTCAAGTCCCGTGTGAGTCAGCAGTAGGATGTGGTAGTCAAAAAACCCTGATGTGATCTTGGGTTGTTTTGAGAGGCCTAGGTTCCAGGAATAATGAGGTGCAATCCCATTGTGCCCTACCATGGGCAGACCAGATCTGGAGTATTTTGTTCAGTCTTGCCAAGTATAGTTTGGGAGGGACACTGATAAACGGGAAAGCTTCCAGAGGAAAGAAACTAAAATGGTGAAGGGCCGAGAGACCAAGGATGGCTTGAAGGGATAAGAGATGTTTAGCTTGGAGAAGAATAGTGTCAGAAGAATGTGATAGTTGTCTTCAAGTATTTCTTGGACTGTCATATGGAATAGACTTGTTCCTCCAGAGACTAGAACCAGGAACAATGAGTGTGAGCAGCAATGAGGCTGAAAAAAAATCCCTCAAAATTAGAGCTATTCAAAGAGTGGAATGGGGTGCCTTGGGAGATGGTGGGTTTACTCCTCAGTGGAAGTCTGTACACAGAGACTAGTTGACCATTTTGGGGGCATGGGTTGAACTAGAAGGCCATTGAGGTTGCATCCATTTCTATAATTCTGTAAGGACTTGTAAGCAGGGGAATGACATCGAAAGAATGCAATGAGAAGTATTTACATTTATTACAAACAAAGGGTGATGGATGGTTAGGCTTGTTGGAAGGGAGTAAATGAAGAACAACTCATGAGAAGGACAGGTTGGAAGACGTCATTACTACTCTCATAATTCATCTGTTATTTTTCGTCCCTAGAGCCCTGAGGATGATGACCGGAAGGTCCGGAGGAGAGAAAAAAACAGAGTTGCTGCTCAAAGGAGTCGAAAGAAGCAGACTCAAAAGGCTGATAAACTTCATGAGGTGAGTATGTGACTGTGGGCAGTGGAAGGTACATATAGAATACTCATCGTTTGGCCCTTAAGCAAGGTTTTGCCATCATCTTTGCAAAGGTCTTTATAAATAGGAGTTATTATTGCTATTATTATTATCAAAGACATATCTTATCCTGAATGTCAGTTGGTCAATAACCACAGACAATGAATATTCACTGTGTATGTGGTCATTAGGTTGTGTACCTAGTGTACAATAGCTAATATTTTTTCAAGGTACAAGTCCATTGGATATATAATCATAACGAACATTTTTATTCATCAAACTAAAGAAACTAAAATTTAACTAATCTCATATTAAAAAAACAATTAAACTTTACTTTAAAAATGTAAACAAAAAATGAAACATGAAATTCTAGTTTTTTATTTGTTTGTATTTTTGAGAGTGCCTGGGCACACTCAGCACACTCTGTACTCATACCTACCTATGCATGCCATCACTCAATCTACTGCACACAGTTCCTTCTTCTCTTCATCCAACCAAAAGTCATTCAGCAGCTACTATTCACATTATGAAAAGCAAAATGGTGTAATGGATAGAAGGCTGACTTTGAAGCCAGGAAGACCTGGATTCAAATCCTGCCTCTGATATATATTACCTTTAAGAACTGGGTAAGTCAGTGTCCAGTAGAGACTTTTTCTCATTGATATTTTCCCATACCATTGAAATTACAAGTCTGAACAACAACAAAAATGTCCAATTCATTGGGCTAGGTTCAGGGAGAGATACTTGGGGGGAAATAAGACATATTATTCCCTTTATGCAAGGAGTTTATAATCTAATGGAGGAGGTAAAGCATGTTCACTCACAAATGTAATACAAATGAAATCAGATGAAGCAGAGTTTACTCTCAGCTGAAAGGTTCAAGGAAGCCTTTATCATCATGTTGAAATGGTAGGGGAGGTAGAAAGAAAGGCATTCCACACATAAGGGATGGTGCTAGCAAAGGTGGGAAGGGTGGGAACATAGCATTGTAGCTCTAAAACTAGAAGGTACTTCAAAGGTCATTTGGTTTAGCTTCCTTATTTTACCACATGAAGAGACTAACACCCAGGTCACCATGGCAATATTCATGGGAAGCAGAATTGGAATCTGGTCCTTCCACTCTTGTGGTCCTTCTCAGTTGGGGGATGGCAACTATCTCTATTTTGTTTGGAGTATAGAATGTGTGAAGTTAAAATAGTGTGAGATAAGATAGGAAAGGTAAGTTGGAATAAGATTGTAGGGGACCTTTAATGCCACACCAATGCATTCATCCTAAGAATACACTGGCTTAAGTCCATAGTGTTTCTGGCCCAATATTTGCCTGTGTTATCTTGGCCAAAGGGCAGCTGTGTGGCACAGTGGATGGAGCACTGGACCTGGAGTCAGGAAGACTCCTCTTCCTGAGTTCAAATCCAGCCTCAGACACTGACTAGTTGTGTGACCCCGGGCAAGTCACTTAACCCTGTTGGCCTCAGTTTCCTCATCTGTAAAATGAGCTGGAGCAGGAAATGACTAAACAATTCCAGAATCTTTGCTAAGAAAATCACACACGAGGTCATGGACAGGCAGACAAGACTGAAACAACCTAACAACAACAACCACAAAGAATTTATGAGCACTGTTCTTTGACCTGGAGACCTGGAAATGTCTAAAAACAGTGGGACAGGATGAATTTATGCCTCCTGAGGAGAATGGGAGGATAACTGACTCTCCTCCAGAGCATGAATAGGGGAGAATGGTATTTTGTTCATCACTCTGTCCTTTTGTTCCCTGGGGCAAGTACGCTTTGGTGAGGGCAAACTTGATGAGGAATACAGGTAAAGTGTGAACTGAGTAAAACAAGGCAAGTCCGGAATCATGCATGAAGTAAAAAGGAAAATCAAACTCTAAGCAGGTTTTGTTTTGGGGAATTTGATGCTTGTAATTTCATCTAAAGGGAGCCTTCCAGTCTGAAAACCCTTTCCACCAATGTAGATTGACAAGTCATCCATGACTTAGAATCTTTAAGAAGTGACTGGGGTACCGAGAGCTTAAGTGACTTGCCCAGAGGGATACTGACAATATGTGTCAGTGGCAGGACTTGAACCCAGGTCTTCTCGACTCCAGAACCATCCCTCTATGCCATGTTGTCTATCATCAGAAATTTTATGAATATTCTAGTCATTTGCATGCATAAATCCTAAGAAGTAAACTGTCAACAAATATGTCTCTGCCTTGACTGCTTCTGTTTAAGAGTCTGCAATCTCTCTTCCTTTCTTAGTGTATTCAGATCCTTTCTTCCTTCATCAAGTCATCCTTAGTTCCTCCTAATTACTAACTACAGAGGCAGTTAGTTGGCTCAGGGGAGAGAGTGCCAGGCTTGGAGTCAGGCAAACCTGAGTTCAAATCTGGTCTCAGATACTTACTAGCTGGGTGACCCTGGGCAAGTCACTTAACTGCTGTCTGCCTCAGTTTCCCGACCTTTCAAATCGGGATAGTAATAGCACCTACCTCCCAGAGTTGTTGTGAGGATCGAATGAGATCATAATTGTGAAATTCTGGGCACATAGTAAGCATTATATGAATGTTAGCTATCATCATCTTCATTTTTATTATGATTAACACCAAATCCAATAATCTTTTTTTCAATCCATATTCTCCTTGACCTCTTTGCAGCATTTGATGAGGAAAACTAGCAACAGAAAGAGAAGGGAGATGCTCCCCTCTTGTTGTGCTTCTGTATTCTCTGCTAAGAATGATCTTTGAACTGGAAAGGGCGTAACAAAAATTGCTGTTAGAAAGCTGATATTCAAGCTAATTTGTCTATAGTCAGAGAGCACCTAGCTGTCCTTGGGGAGCTGAGATCACCAGGTCCTGATGAGCTGATTCCTAGAGTGTTGAAAGGACCAGTAAATGCAATAGCTGAGCTATGAAAGATTTCAGATAACAGGACCAAAGATCTAGAACTGAAGGGACATCTGGTCTAACCCCTGTATTTTACAAATAAGGAAACTGAGGCCTAATAAGGTTTGGTGACATGTCCAGGGTTGCACAGGTAGTATCAGAGATGAGACTGCATTTTAACCCAAATCCTCTGACTCCAGAGCCAGTGCTCTGTCTAAAAAAAACAGGACTAGAGAAAGGCAAATATTCTAGTTTGTTTGTTTTATTTTTTAAAGGGAGGAGAATGGAGGCTGCAAACTACAAGCTGGTGAGTTTAGCTTTGATTCCTAGCAAAATTTTGGAATGTTATTATTAAAGGGATGGTTAGTGGATATCTAAAAACAGAAGCAGTGATAACAAACAGCCCAGTCTGTCTTCTTTGAAAATAGATTCCTTTTTGGTCAGGATTAGACTTAGTAGACCAGGGAAATGTAAATTTGGTTCATCTAGAGTTTAGCCAAATATTTAACAGTCTCTCCTGGTATTCTGGTGGACAAGTTGGAAAGAAATGAGTTAGACAATAGTACAGTTAGGGAGATTATGAATTGGCAGAACATATAGAATGAAAGAGTAGTCACCAATGTTTCAATGGCAGCTTGGAAGTTATTTCTGGCCCTGTTCTGTTCAACATTCTTATCGATGACAGTAAGGGGCAGTGCTGTGGGGGGTGGGGTGGTGGAGAGTGGGTCTCGAGGCGAGGGTGATTTAGGTTCAAATCTTGTCTCTGACACAAATTGCCTTTCTGACCCTGGGTAAATCATTTAACCTCTTGGTGGTCTACGCCAGAGACGTCAAGTGGCTTACTAGGCTGCATGCAACCCTACAATAGTCCTGTGTGGCAGAACCAAATTAAAATATAATTGGGAAGTATTTAATAATATAAATAAAATACAATAGAACATATGTGGTTTTCTAAAGCCCACAAGGATCCTTAGGTACAGATTAATGGTTCCCAATTTCTATTTGGGTTTGAAACTACTGGTCTAGGCAATTCTCTAAGACTTTAATTATAGAGAAGGCACCAAACTGTCCTGGTAAAGGGAGTTTCCTAACTTGGGAGTTTTCTGATAAAATTAAATTTATTAGAGTGAAATGTAAACTCTTATGTTTTGGTTCAAAAAAATAACTTCCTAAGTCATAGAATGGGAGAAGTAGGTATGGTTAGAGAGCAGTTTGAAAAATATCTTGGGGTTTTTAGTGGACAGTAGACTTCTGATTCTGTCCATTTTAAGCCCTCTCTCCTTGAAACTTCCGAGGCTCCATTCTGTTGGGACATCTTCACGTAATTCTTCTTAAACTTAAAGGTATTTGAACTTTTCTTTCATCCCTTATATTAGATTGTAAGCTTTTTGAGGACAGAATCTAGTTCTATTATCAGAGAAATAGCGGGGCATGGTGGATAGAATGCTGGGCTGAGAGTCAGATAGGTTCAAATCCTGCCTATGACATGTGTTCAATATGCACAAATCTCTTAATCTCTCTGAATGTCAATATCTTCTTTAAAACATGATGATAAGCTGTACCTCACTGGGTTGTTGTGGGTAACAACTGAGCTAATGTATGGAAAAGGCTAGAGCACCATGTAAATAGCATTTATTTGGATATTTGAATCCCCATCACTTAGCCTAATGTCTTGCACATAGTAGGTGTTTAATACATGTTTGCAGAATTTAATAAAAAAAAATCTTTGTATCCACTCAACCTTATGGGATGGTTTTCGGAAACCATCTAGATATGAAGATTTTGTGTTAGCCCAAAATGGTTGTCAAGGCCAAGGCTAGAAAGGATCTGTTGGAATTTCCATCTCAAGAAGTCTCTATTTCATTATCATCGTGGGGACGAACTAGGGGACAGCTTAGTGCCCTTTCTCGTAAAGTCTATGAAGTAACTCAACAAGGGTAGCCCAAAGATTTGACTTGGAGGTGATATTATTTTAAAGACTCTTGGATAGGTGAGTTTTCTGCCCTCTGCCCTCAAACTACCCTCTTCAAGCACAAACACCTGCTAAGTAGTGCCTGAAATTCCTTTAACCAGGGTACAATGCCATTCTCATTCCACAATGG